TGCATTTACAAGAAATGCAGTTCATTTATCTGTATTCGCGTGCAAATGAAACGTGTTCTGCAGATTCAAATTTTGAAAACGATGCAAAACACATTTAGCTCTACGAACGAATTACACATCAGTCAATCTTTTGGTGCTTTTTTATGACATTGGTCGGTGGACAGCCACAAAAATAGGTTTGATCAACCATTATCAAATAAAGAAATAGAAGGATTACTGCAAATCATCTGAATTTCATCTTTATTTCTGACTTTTGATCTTTTATGATCATTCGTAGACACAAACATGAAGAAAAACAAAGTAAATCAAATACAATTTTAAATAGATAATTCATCTTGATTACTTAATATGATAATACTTGAAAAAAGATGCAAAGTTAAGTATATTCGCACCCTACCCTTTCAGTATTTTTGATCAGTCACTTCGTAATATTCTCTGTTTTAAAGTTCGAATTAAATATTTCTCTCGTTAGAGCTTAAAAACTGCTATAAAATCATCTAGGTGAAGCTTTGTTCTCTTTACATTGTCACTTAAACAATCTCTCTCATAATAGATAAGAATAGAAAAATGTCTAAAAACTATGCTTTGGGAGTAATTTTTATGGAATATCCAATGAATTCTTTTATCCATGATGACTCGCTTTCGGAGTGATATTATTTAAGAAACTACTTCGATTAGAAATCAGAAAACTTTCTTTACATTAGTTGAGAGAATGTTATCAAGTCTTATACCACGACTAAATAAATGACTGTTGACCAAACAACTTTGTTCTTTAGATTTTCTTTCTTTGCAAAATAACTGAAGTTCATCCGACGTGTTGTCGTTGAGAAATAAGTTCTGAGATTATACAAAAAACTTGTATAGCGTATATATATTTGAATATTTTGTATTATATATTGCGATCGGCTATCTGTTTGTCAAAACTCTTATGTTTGCCATTCCTGTTAGTTATTTAAGGCCTCCCTCCCTCAAAAATGGATCTCAGCCCAGTAACATCCAAATTGCATGAAACTTTCAGGATATATCGAGGCTGATGAGTCATGACTATAGTAAAATTTTCAGACCTGTAGCACGATATTTAAAAGAGATATGCACCAAACAAGGTCAAAAATAGCTCTATAGCACCTCCAATCTTTCTCTGTGAGACTCCATTCCAGAAATTTAATTTTTTTTTGTTTGAAAGAGCATGTCAGAATGCAGCGACTCTCGTAGCCCTTTTTTTTAAAGTCTTACTTTTTAAGGGAAAATGATAATAAAAAAGCTTATTTAAAAAAAAAGGGCCACGAGAGTCGCTAGCCTTGAACACAAGCTTTTAGACAAGAATCCTCCAAATTTTTTGGAAAAAAGAGTTTGCCGAGTAAAAGTTTTTGTCATTTATGAAAGAGCAGATGACGAACTATTTTCCTATGAATTTATCTCAATTTCGATCATTTTGGCGAAAAGTGACTTTGTTGAGGGAGGGGACCTTAATATCGATACTCATTAAAGGTATTATTTTCTTGTTCTGCTTCTACCGTAAGCTAGATAAACGAGTCAAAACAAGATAAGACGAAGAATCAATCGTTTCTGATAGTGTTCTCATTATATTTGTTATATTAGCTGATTATATATTCAAAACAAGCTTTACCACAATTACGCTCTCTTGTTCAAATCAGTCTCTAAGAGCTGTTAAACTCTCACTAAAAAATTGTGTTAAGTCGTAATAATCGAACATGGATGACAGGAAAGGCGAGTTGGATTATTGAATCAACGAATAGTCAAGAACTCAGCTATTTTTTTTTTGTTTTTTTCTGCTCCGAAAAATGCGTTTCACTGTGATAATTTTTCCACTAACATCGAAATATATTATTGCTGACCAGTTTCACAAAGACCTAGTACATTCGAAAATGTTTCCCATTCATTTTTCATTTCGATGTAGCACGTTTTTTTCCTTTCTAAGTACTTTCTTATGTAGATAAATACAGTTCGTTGATTTTTTTCTCTCTATCTCTTTCTATTCTTCCAAAACAAAAGGTGAAGTTAATACTTTGAACGTATGAAAAAATATTTTAGATGATATTTGATAATGAATCGGGCGTTATTGGTGCTCTCGCTCATAATACAGCTGAGGAAACTCAGCATTCCATTGATCCCGATCATACAGACCAAAAATATACGGAGTACCTACCATATTCTGATGATAATTGCGATGAAATTGTTGATGACCATTTTCAACGAGGTTTTTATACTTAGTTTTTTCGATCTCTTTAAGTTCTTGGTTGTTTAGGTGAAATATTTGCTCTTGAAAATATACATTGTCATACTGAAGAAGGATTTGTCCCCAATGTTCCAGTTCATATTAAGTCAATTGTGACTGAACGTACTAATGAACATTCTGGAGCGTTCCTTGATCCATATTTGTAGGTCTAACTAAATAACACTTAAAATTATCGAAATGATGAATTTATTTGTTTCAAGATTCTGTATAACAGTTCATCAAAAAGATTCGAGATGTTTATCGAAGTGTTCTCTGATCGAATTGGGTATCCGATAGTATATAAAATGCGAAGGATGATTTCAAACACCAAATCACTGGAATTAGTATATTGTTAATGTTGGAAAGATATCTTTACAAAAACAATGGCATACTCTGAAAGCTGTTGGAGTTATGTGTATCATCCCTGTGCAAACACATTTGAGTTTGTTCTGATGCAATACAAAATAAATTGATTGCGATCAGGATACGCTCATCATCCGATTCCTACGGGTCGAATTCGATCACTGCTGACAATTAGTTTTTTTAATTTTTTATTAGTATAGTACTACGTCTTCATAAAAGGAGGTTATATATATATTTTGAAAGCGCTTGAGATTTTTTATCTTTCTACGTATATATCTACTAGCTTGCAATTATTTGTTGTTCGAAACAATTAATTATATGATCTGACAATATTTTTCATTGCAGATCATTCTGAACTTTTAAAACAAAAAAACTTGAATACTTCGTTCTTGTCAGTAGATGGTTTCTTCGTCATATTCAAATTATTTTTTGATCAAATAAATGTAAGCTGATAGAAAAATACATGGGAAAATAAAGACTTTCAAGTGCTTCTATAATATATACGACTTCTTCTTTTTTTGAAAACGTATTCAAATAGTGATGAAGAAAAGTTTGATTTTCATAGCAATGATTAAATCCGATCCGTGAGAGTCTGATGATGAGGCTATCTTCATTACAGAGGATTTATTTTCTATTATGTGAGAGTGTGAGTACGATTTATATATAGCCGAACCCACATCAAACGAATCAGCTAGATCAGCTGAAGTAGTGTGAACTAGATATTTGTTTATCATGATTTCATTTCTTTTAGTAACCAAGCTGAAAACAAAGAATACCCATATTTTCCAACAAGAGATGGTACAATGGCATTTACTGATGATTCCATTGTTGAACAACGTTGTGTAAATTAAAAATGAGCTTTACTTTTTTTAATCATTAAGTTATTTGTTTTTCTCATAGCCAATTCTTGTCGATTATCTCAATAAAGCTCTTCAACATTCTAAATTTCGTGCACACCCAGCAACGGTATGAATTCGTAATTGATATTTTTACTAATTTTCACGAATAGACTAATCAAATATCTAGAATCGATGAGAAACTTCTTTCTGATTGTTGAGTTCATTTCTACAGAAATTCACTGTTGCTAATGTAGCTAAACCGAAAACTACCAAATCAAATATAATCTGTTATATATAGAAACTTTTATTACAAGTAATTAACTGACTGGAAGAATAATTGATTACCATTGAAGAAAGTAATCATCCCAATCAATAACTAAGTTAATGAAATCTGTTGTTTAGTCGAGAACAGATAACACTAGATGAAAATTTCATCTGTCTTCGTTTTTCTCTAAAAGGTTCTAGCGGTGGTATACTCGATATTTTCTGAGGCTGTGGGGGACGGGAGAAAGAGGCAGAGTGAGGTTTGGATTTGGATTGGAGTAGGCACGGGTATACATAGATAGAACATTTACGCTCGCGTCGTTTGTTAACAATCATCTTACCTGACTACTAATTATTCAAGGTTACTAATCTAGATGGTAGTTAATAGCTTTGATATAACATGCAGCAACTTTGTTATAGCCAACAGCATGCATTTCTTTCATTGAAAGTTTAAGATAAAATTTTATAAAGATTACATAAAAAACAGCAATCAAATGTTGTAAACTTTGTCATCAAAAAGAAATCTTCCAGGAAATGATCAAAACAAGACTTTTTGTCTATAACTTTTATGTGTACTTTATGTAACACTGTTAGTATTGATAACGAATGTGAAGGTAAAAAGCTGTTCAAAAACATGAATTTTTAAAAATAATAAGAAAATACGAAGGAAATACAAAATAAACAATAGAATCGTTAGTAAATTGTAGTTGACACCTCATCTAATTCTGCACATTTAATGTAACTTTGAAATCAGCATAAAACTTTGTTTTTCGTAATTGAATACAGAAACGATATTTTTTTCAATTTGTTAGTCTCTGACAAAAGACTTCCCATTTATAGAGATAATACTGTTTCTATAATAACTTTACTTTACTGTCCATCAGTTCTATGGTGTTCTGAATATTATTCTAGCAGATCGAAAATGATTCATTTAAATCAAAACTCTTATGAATAGCAATAGAGAAAATCCTATACAATATTAGATAAAAAGTCAATGAAAATGGTAGTTACTTTCCTTATAACATCATATTGTACTATTTTAATTGTTTTTAGTGTCAATTTTTTGGCATCAATTGTTTATCATTCGTTCCTGGCTTATCAGTTAGCCGAAAAGAAGGTTATCTACAAGAACAATCTATTAATTATTATTTTGATTATCATGCTTTCTTGCGTGCATCATATTTTTGTGATTTATGTAAATGTCATGATAGTTCAAAGTACGCATATTTTTTTCCTATGAATTATATTTTCAATAAAGAGATCTTCATTTTGTTAAATATAGATGGTTTATTTTTAAAGATATTTATATGATTGATATACGACCTGATATACATGAAATATGTTTTCCTATGTTAGTTGATCGTGATTTTCAAATTTCATTTGATATTCAAAATATTGGTTATGATGATGATATTAAAATAATCAATTCACAGCGTATATTACTTATTAAATGTCGAACAGCACATAATTGTAATGAGTGGGCAAAGCATTTATCAAGTTCAACTGAACAAGTAAAAGATGTTGTCAATAAAACATGAAATCAATCCGATTCATATGCATCTATTCGAGAAAATTAATTAGCTTATTAGTCAAGCAATAAAATGATCTTGTATTAAAATAGAATGTTTAATATAGGTTTATTAATGGTAAATCATATATGTTAGCTAATGCTAAAGCACTTTTAACAGCTAAAGAAGAAGTTTTTATTATAGACTGGTGGCTTTCACCTGAGCTTATGTTAATTAGACCAGCAGATGAAAAAGCATTTCGACTTGATAATATATTAGGAAGAATAGCTGTGAGAATTTGATTTGTTTTATTATTCATGCTTGTTAAAATGTTAGATATAAATTTTAGGATGCAGGAGTTCGTGTTCATGTAGTGCTTTATAAGGAAATGCCATTTGCTTTAGCTTTAAATAGCTTATATACAGAAACAAAATTAATTTCTAAAAGTACAAAAGGATTTATTAAAGCCTACTGAGTGTTTTAATTAGAAATACCATAAATAGCTCATTTACTTGAATATCTAAGGTTATTCGACATCCAGGTCATAATACTAAGGATTGCGTACTTTTGTGGTCTTATCATGAGAAAATAGTTATTATCCAGCAAAAGACTACTTTCATTGGTGGAATTGATATATGTTATGGTCGTTGGAATGATGAATTTATGCGGTGAGTTACTATCTTGTTATTGGATTTCATATTGTTTTCACGTACATCATGCATTGATTTCTACCAAGAAAAAAACAAGCGTATGTAATACAATATCTGTTCCAACACTGATTGCATTAGTATGAGTATTTACTATAGTACTAACTAAATTGACATCAACATTCTCTACAAAAGTCAAGCACTAACTGTATCAAAACTATGCTTTTTCTGTATCATTCGATTCCGATTCTTGATTTGCACTGATACTTGTTTGCACTAACAACTGCAGTTGTACAATCCTGAATGTGTCATTGAGAGTGGATTTTTTTATTTCATAAATTATAAAACTATTTTCCTGCAATAACTTTATATTATTATTTTTTAAGAAAAATAAATCATGATAGCCATCTGAATATTTTCTTCAGTCTCGATGATTTTTCTTGAAAGATATTCTAATGAGTCATTACAGTACAAAGATAAAACTCTATACAGTCAAATGAACTATCGCTAATGCGAATGTCTGGCAAAGTTACTCGTAGAAATTTGGCCTTGCCAATTATTTAAATGTAACGTCATCCGAAATGAATTAACATAAATAAGGAACCTGTACTTTGTTGAGTCAAGTATTAAGTTACGAGTTTTCGTTTTTTTTTATTACCAGTCGTGTCGATGTGGGTAATGGATATGGCACAGCACTGAAATTGCCATCTGACATAGCTGCAGAAAACGAACCGTCAGCTGGCACAGAAACAGTACAAATGGTTACTACCAAAATGGCTGAGCAAGCTGGTGAAGCACTTATCAAGGTAAGAGAACTTAAAAGAGAAGCAATAATAAGATAAGAGGAAACAACCAATCCTCATCTAAAATCAAAACAATAAGTTTTCGAACACCCTTGTACTTTATTTTTTTATGTTTATCGATTTGTGAAGCAAAAATAAGAGATAAAATTTTTCTTTTTTCATCAGTAGATATTCCTCGATTTACATTATTTTCGATATCAAAATTACGACTGTGGTCTATCATCTTGAAGTATAGGACATTGTTTCATAAAAACAATCGGTTTTTCGATGTATGCAGGATGAGATTTTTTTTGTTTCTCATAGCAAAGCATTCAACTTTGCGACATCATAATGATATCATGCGTATGTGACTGGAGCGATCTAGCAATTCAAAATATTTTCAGTGCAAAAACTTAAAGCTTAGAGAAAAGTATTATACTAAAATATTGATGTTACATGCATTCTTTTAGAGGATACTCAACTGCATTCATAACAAAGTTGATATAAGAGAAAGGTGTATTGTATAGCATACGAGAGACGAAAAAAATTCCCTAGAAACTCCTATAATTATCAGTGAAATATTCTTGTGGCACTAAGTCTTGTACATTTTCTTACTCGTATCGGTTTAAAGGATGCAAGAAAAAACAAATAATTTTTGTTTTTGTTTGAAAAATTAGGATACGTATGTAAGTATGAGTGAGAGTACTGGTATATGATGGTGGAAATGATTTTCTTTATGCTCATAGTCTAATTTTCAAATAAAATAATGAAAAACCCATGTTGCACAAAAAGAAAGGAAAACGAAAATTTTCCTTTTTTTTTATCTTTTAAACCAATACGATCAAAGACAACGAAATAAAGTTTGACACAACATGGATATTTCACTAATAAATATATCAGTTTGTAGAGAATTTTTTTCTCTATTGCATCGTAAACAATACATTTCTCTTATATCAATTTTTCTCATGAACACAATTGAGTATTCTTTCAAGGACCCCATGTAACATCAATATTCTAGTATAATACTTTTCTCCAAACTTTAAGATTTTGCACTGAAAATATTTTGAACTGCTAGATTTCGTACAACTTTTGATGGGCTCCCCAGTAGTATATTTAGAAATTAGTGTTGAAAAAGTTTTCCTGATTTTTCATCTATACTATCATATTCAGAGATTTTTTACTTTTTTTGAAATAGCTTTTATTGTGAATATTATTTTTCTATATTGATAATCATGCAAATGGATGTAGTTTGTTGTAATCGCTCCAGTGATATACACGTGATATAATTTTGATATCGAAAATAATATAAATCGAGAAATTTTTACTGGTGAAAAAAAGAAAAAATTTATCTCTTATTTCTGTTTCACAAATCAATAAATATTAAAAAAAATTAGAAGGGTGTCTGAATAGTTTTTGGTTTGACTGTATATACAACATTTTTGAATCTATTCTGAAGTTTTAATAATCTGAGAACATCATTCAATCCTCTAAATGGGACACATACAGACATTAAGTTGGGTGTGGGTGGGATGTGGGTGTGGGTGTGTGGGTGTGGGTGTGTGGGTGTGGGTGTGGGTGTGAGTGTGGATTGGTGCGGGTGTGGGGTGTGGGTGTGGGTGGGTGTGTGGGTTTGGGTGTGGAGGAATCGAATGTATTGACCGACGCCCACACCCACACCACCCACACCCACACCCACACCCACACCCAGACCCACACCCGCATTTCTAGGAGATGCACAGATGTGTAGGCGAATCCTGGCGGGAAATACTAGCAGAAATGTC